TTTTTTTACTTAAGTGAAACTGCACCAACTGATTAACATACAAGTAAAGAACAGTCCCTTCATAAGTAAAGAACAGTCCCTAAAGTGCAGTGAAGTTTGTGGATGGTTACCTGCCACAAAGAGAGAAATGTGAACGGCTCGTTTCTCCTCTGACACAACACATACCTGTGTGCTGGGCTGTTCAGGTATGTTTGGGCAGCGATCACAGCTCACCAAAATTCTCGCGTGAGCCTGTTCACATTACGGCCGGGTTCCACCGGCTGCAAAAGTAAGCGTCACGTCAGCGTAGCATCGCAGCGTATTCATTTGGGCTCCACTGACTGCGTGGAAGTGACACATAGAGAAGCCAGCGGGGTTGTTTACCGTTTGCTGAGCCATGAAATGTTAAAGCATTCTCCACCTAAGTTCTTACATATATCTGAGTTATCTACAAGTTTACTGTAGGCTACTGTTTGTCATCTACTAGCTTTCAAATGTCCGCCACGGACATTTACACAATGTCACGGATAAACATGGGTAAATGCCTGAAAAAAAAGTAATCACATATCACCTCTGATAATGGTTTATTCATTTAAAAACACATTGTGCTCGTTTAGCACACTATTTCATGTAGTTTTTAATCTGCTGGAGGGTCGCGTAGGGGAGCGTAGCACGACAAAAATAGAAGAGCAGCCTAAAATAGAGAGTTGTCGCACCGCTCCCGTTGCCGGTGGAGCCACTGTAATTGATTAACAGGGGGGCGAGCTGCTACAGGACTCGCGCTGCAGAAGTGTAGCGCTGCTGACGTGCCCGGTGGATCTCGGCCGTCAGACGCACATTTCTCCACGCCGGTCAACAAGCGGTTCTGCTCCCAGCTGTTGTCTCCGTCACATTTGGGGCTGTTTTTCCATCATGGGTAACTGCCCGGCTTGACACATTCGCTCGCGGCTCGCGCAGAAAATAGACCAGACGCCAAAACGATCACTGCAGGGCAGCTCCGCGGCCGGTGTGGATGACACAATCGGTTAACATGGGCGCCAAAAGGAAACTGGCTTTGCTTCGAGGCACTTCGAGGCTATTCACAGCGCTTCCGCGGGCGGTGTGGCCCTGGCGCTACGTGACCAAAGATCGTCTCTGCCTGAAATACACAATACTCTGCCAGGAAACCAGCCGATACCAGCACCTTTCTACAGTAACAAAAAATGCATTTTTTGCTGGTAAAAGAATAACTCGCCAGAGTGGCGAGTGGTCTTAAAAATTTACCAGCCAGAGACAAAATCTACCCATAATTGGCGAGTGGCGAGGGTTAGTTTTGGACCCTGATTTGAATTTTTAGTAGTAAGGCATGTACTAAGCGGGATAAGATATAGTGAGCCGGTGACTGTTGAAAAATAACTCCGCTGTACGTTGAGGTTCCATTCCCCTGTCGAGAGTTATTTTTCCAACAGTCACCGGCTCACTATACATTATCCCTTACATGTCTACTGTTGTTTGAACTGACACTGTACATATTGGTATCATTTACTGTGAGCTGTTTGTACTGGTACTGTGCATTCTGTATAATTATTTGCATTTCTATTTGTTTTTTCTTCAGATATATCTGATAATTGTTGCTCGGTCTCTTTACTCATTTATTTAGTATAGTGTCCACACACCTTCTCATTCTACATATACATAGAGGTATACTGGTGGCTTTACAGCCTACATTTTATTGATTATCTCTGATCCCCATGGTCAATTTGGTTTTTGCGACAGTGCGAGCAACACTGCTGATGCTAGGTGGCGCCAAGCTAAAAAAAAAACCCAAATCCTATCTGTTGGCTCTTTAATGTTGTCTTTTTGTTGTTGGTAAATGTAGGTTATCAATAAAAATCAAAACTTTTAAATTGCATTGTTAAAAATGTGAAAGTATAGTATAGCCTACCAATGGAGCTTGTGCGCAACCGTCTGAGGCTGTGGATCAATGCCAAGTTTTACCACTTTATCACTATTCTGTCTAACTTGTAGCTGTTTTTACATTATCTTTTGAATTTAATATGAATTATGGAACCGTTTTTGTCAACGTTTGTTTCCCCCGTTTCTTTTGGAGTGTGTGACACAAGTGTGTTTTGAAAACAGCCGCGGACTGTCACCTGCTCAACGCATCAGTACCTTCAGATGCCATGCCAGTAATGGCCAATAATGTCAAAATATCATTTACAGACCGATTTAACAGACGATCACTGCTGCCCAACCCACAGGTCCATCTGCGGGTCCTGCGGGTTACGGGTCAACCCGCGCATCACTACTCAGCTCAGTCTATAAAGGCTGTACACAACAGTCGGCTATGGACATTATATTCTAATCAGGCCGGCAGAACCAGCAGGGAATCAGCTCTACAGTGCACGGCACTGCTGATTAACCATTTTATTGCAACACAGAGTGTCTGCCAGCAACCAATTACTTGCAGAGGCTTCCTAGAACTTGTTTCAACGGTTAAACAGGATGACTAGCCAATGTGAAAATCAAAAGAAAGCATAGAATAATGTACTTAAGGAGACTGTTGTGCCATCACATTTTTTTGTGGTTTGAGAGCAAATATCTGGTCGCCGCTGTACAAAACTCTGCAATACAATTAGGTCCCCTAGGAATTAGG